CTGCCTCCTGCCCTTCCCAGCGGAAATGCTTCTCCACTGCATTCATGGAAATGCTTAGTGAGTGTAGTGGGTGATGGCCTGGAAGCGGCTGGAGCTGTGCTCCAGAGGAAAGCACAAGCTGTGGTGACAAAAACATATCTCAAGGAGGAGCAACAGCCCTTTCTGGCATGAGTTCTTACCCATTGCAAGGCAGTTAGAGCCACAGTGAGATGACTGTGGCCACCAGCCTCCCCCTGTTCACTCAATCTCTTGCCCATGCAAGAGCTGCAGGACAAGGCAGCGATGTGGCAGGGGACAAGGCATCCTTTGGCAAGCTCTTGGCAAGGATTAAATATATCATGCAGAGAATAAACCAATGTCACCTCAGTTGTGGCTTGCTCCCATTTTTATTTTCAAGAGAGAAACCAACCCAATGTGCTGCCACACTGCTTGATTCCTGCTCGGCTCTTCCTGCAGTGCCTCTCCCCAGGGAGGGGTGCAAGGGCTGCAGGATGCTGGTGAAAGCAGAAGCTCCTCCAGTGCTACCAGCCCTGTACCTGGGATGGCTGCAGGACCTCTGCCAGGATCAGCCCCTTGCATGGCGCCTTTCCCAGGAGCAATCCCAGCTCTCCCAGACCCTCTCTAGTGACAGCACTCTGTCCTTCCTGAGAAGGCCTGGGCTTCCCATTTGGAGCTAGAACCTTGCTTGTCATCCTGCTTGGCCACCTGAGCCTCACTCCTCCTCCCAGATCATCCTGAGGCTGAGACCCACATGGAGGTTGGGCTAGTGGTCTCAGCACATGGGAGGCATGCTGTGAATGAGTGATGTTGCTTCATTTCAGCCCAGGGGAGCTGCCTCTCTGTTTTGCCTTGGGGCACCTCCCTACAGATAGGCTGATGTGTGGGGACTTCCCCAGATGCCTTCATCCCTGCAGTCAGTTCTCTGTTCCCAAAGGCCAGCCCCACTGGCAGTGCCCCACGCTGGCTCCCAGGAGCTGGGAAGCACAGCAGTGGCAGGGGACTGTTTTGCCCTGGGTGGAGGTGGGTGAGAGCCAGCTGGCACAGTGCTGGCATTTGGACAGTTTCAGGCTGTCCCCAGCCCCCTGCTGCCAGGCCTGTCCCCCTACACTGGCTGTTCAGGCCGTCCATCAGCTTGGCATCCCAGAACGGTGATGCCCCTTCCCTCCTAGTCTTCCCTGCAGCTCCTGGCCTTTCTCCCTGCTGACTTCTCCGTCCCTTCCCATCCCTCCACATTTTACTGTTTGCAAACCCTGCAGCAGTGCTGGGTGAGGCTCTGATTCAGCACGGGGCTCCCTGCCAGCTTTGCCAGAAGGCAGAGACGGAAAGAGGCACATGGCACTGAAATAAACCACTTCATGATCCAGTCTAGACTTTACTTAGCTTTTGCAAAAACTTGGTATTAATGTTACATTGACATATAAAGTAGAATGGGTCCAATTTCTCAGCTGGAGTGAGATGAACTTGATGGAGCCACTGCAGTCAGTGGGACAATGCTCACAAACCTCAGCTGCCGTCTGAAAATCCTGCCTGCAAAGGCTGCCGACCCTTGGGGGAAGCCCTGTCTGCTTGGCTGGGGCAAGGAGAGGGCAGTTCATGCTGCTGGGGCTTGGTACCACATTGCAGGTGGGTTTTCTGCCTTCGCAGGAGGCGGGATGCGATGTTGCCTGTGTGTGTGCTGTAGCAGCTCACCACCAGCCTGGCTGGTGCCAGATGCTTCCCCGGCACTGGTGTCTCTGCACCCACTCACAGTGCCCACTGGGAGAGTGCTCAGGGATGTTGGCACATGGGCACATATGCTTGAGGGGACGAAGCTGTGGGGAGGAATGGCATCGGCCTGTCTCATTTGGTTCCCTTCTGCTGAACGGGGATCCAGTTTCCAGGTTCAGGCAGATGCAGCCATGTGAGCTGGGGCTTCACGGCTGCCATAGGAGCTGCTGGCAAGCTTGAACTGGAGGTGAGTGTGGCAGGGAAGCTGCCAGTGCCCACTGCAGTGTGCTGACACTGCAGACAGGCTGGGTGGCTGCTGCGGACACTGCAGCACACAGCAAGCCACAGCTGGCCAGCAGCATCTCTCCTCGCATTGCTGGTGCTGAGGCAGTGTGGAGCTTGGCTAAAAGTCAATGTAACAATCCAGATCCATTTACCATGGAGATGCTCCTGGCCAGGAGAGCCATGGTGTGAGAGCTACATGTTGGCCATGGCCAGGTCCTGGGGATGCCTTCTGTGCAGGAGAGGTGGGGAGCCAGGATCTTGGCTGACAGCATGTTAGGAGCTCCAGAGTACCACATTTAGCACAGGAGCATGGGCTGCAGGGCTTGGAGCACTCCTGCTGCAAACAGATCACGTACAGGAGCCAAGTCACAGCCATGGGCTGATGGGAGGGAGGAACAGGGGGTTCATCCCCTGTGAGGAGCAGAGCACACATCTTCCAGCCCCTGCTGCAGAGGTGGGGGTCACTCGGAACAACAGTAACACGTGCCCAACCTGCCAAACTGCCTCTGCTGCTCCAGTTGCTCGGGACCATGAGCATGTTGCACTGGAGCCCTCCAGGGTGGTGGTAAACGTGGAACACATGGCTGAGGGGCCGTGCATGTGGTGAGAAGCCTGAAGCCTGCAAAGTGAAGCACGTTTGTAGTCTGGCACCAGCTCTTCCCTGCTACCGTGGGAGAGCAGGCACCATGTGCCTTTCGAAGTCCTTTCCCCTTGCACGTAGCCTGTCAGTGGCAATACTGATTATCAACAGCATTGGTTGGAAGCAATTATCTCTGTACAGTGAAGTCCAAACCATGTCCTGGTTCTGCCGTGCATTCTGGGGCATGAGCATGGCAGCAGGCCTAGGAAGGGAGGGAGATATACAATGAAGTCACTGTGTATGGATGAAGGATGCTTTCCTCCCATCTCACCCAGAAGAACCCATCAGTGTCCCTTGAAAGGCAGTCCTGGCTGTGCCTTCCTACTGTGTTGGGCAAGGACTGATGGCCCCCGGGGAGAAGGTCACACCACAGTGCTGACTGAGGGGTCGGAGAGGTTGAGCTGGCCAGTGATGTCGGTGGGATGATATTGCTGCAACACACAAATACACAGACAAGGAGAAAGAAGTGTTAGGCAGTTCTGGCACTTGCCCCCACCTCTACTTACATCACATGTGTCCCTACAGGATATCTCTTGGGGGTGATGCAACGGCCCAAAACCTGCTGCTGGCTGAGGTCCCCTTCCCAATGCAATCCATGCTTGTGCAGAGGTCGTTGCAGACACTCTCCAAGCACCCTACAGCTAGGCAGGGAGGACGCCCAGCAGCACGGTGCAGCTTCTGCAGAGCGTGGCAGCCGGGTCGCCTGCTGAGCGAGCCCCTCTCTGCTCTGGGAGAGCTACAAGACAAAGGCTGTGACTCATCAGCGCAGCCCACGGCTGAACCTGTGTTTGGAGGGTCTGGCTGGGTTTCGGCATCTCTCTGGTGCCAGATCAAGCTGTGCTTTGAGGCCAGGGCGTTTCACCTCCTTGCTTGAATGACTCTGCTTTGACTATCCTTTCATGCAGGTGAGGAGATGTGTGGTGTGGTTGACTTGCAATAAACTGTAGTGTCAATTGCTAATGTGAAAGTACAGCCTGTGTTGGGGATGTGGCCTGGATTCGGGGTTCTGCGCTCCTTGTGGATGGGGGGGCTTGGCAAACACTCCCTGGGAGACACCTCCCCAGCCACAGTTCCACCAGCAAACAAATGGGGAGAGCAGAAATACCCTTCAACAGGCAAGAAAAAAAACGTCCTTCCTCCCCAGGCAGGGATTTACAACTGGGCAGTTATTTTCTCCCTTCCTCCTTCCATATTCCCTTCCTCTCCCAGTTCCCCTCTCTTAACTCCAGACCCTGAACTGGAAGCCCTGCTGTGAGAGCGGGTGGCATGGAGCATCTCGCGCTGCTGTTTGGGGACCTAAATTAGTGCCGGGGCAGGAAAGGGTCTCAGTGGGTCTTGTGTGCTGCAACGTGGACCCTCTCCAGTGACATTTGCCTAGCCCTTGCACCATGCTACCCAGGAGGGCTGCCATTTTGCTGGGCTCTTGGGGGGGCTCCTCGGTGATGGAATTTTACCTGTCTTGCGTTGGTCAGTGGTGACTGTGGCCCCCGTGGTGCTGCTGGCGGCTCTGGCACTGTGGCTACCCTGCGTGGCTCTACACCGTGCCTCCCACCACGGGGAGGTCTGGGGTTCCCCCGAGCATTGCATGGGGTCCTCGGGGCTGCCCTGCTCTGCCCAGTTTTGTGCTTCACTGGGACCCCTCGGTGGGGAGCTGCTCGGGCAGGGGCGGGAGCCAACATGCTCCCGTCTCTCCGGTACATGTGCTTGGGACATGCTGACACCCAGGGAGCATCTCATGGGATCATTCTTTCATTTAGGGGACTAGCTTATATTAAAATGGAGCCTCTGAGAAATTCCTTGCTATGGCCTTGCTTTGCTAAGTGGTAACACCTTGGCCATCGTCTGTTTGCACAGGGAACGGCTGAGGTGATCCTGAAGTCGCTCTGCCACCCTGGGGGGAGCTTTTTGTGGCTATTCATTGGTCCACCAAAAAATGCCCCTCTCTCCCCGAAATGGGTGCAGCTGCCCCCTCCTTGCGAAGACCTAGGATTCCAGCTAAATGCAATCTTTCCTTTCTGTAGCAAAATGGCTGGGAGGCGTGTGCTTGTGGGACGGGGCTTGATCCCCACAGGGAGGAGAGGCGACTGGGAAAGGGAGAGGCTGGGTGACTCACTGGTGGAGAAGAAGGAGGAACTTGAGATATGAAAAGGAATGGGCAGAAGAAAAGTCCTTTGTTA